GTGTGTGCCCATGTGTCAGGAGGCACCACGAGAGGAGGGATGAGCGAGGACACTGCCCGGCACATCCCCTCAGAGCAAACAGCCTGGGGGAGGGTCGCAGCCACACACTGTCAGAGAGCTGTGGTCCTGCCTGGCCCGGGGCCAGGAATGATGTCACGGCTGAGGCCTGGACCATGAGTCTGGGGGGTGTTGAAGGGAGGAGAGGCCTGCTGGAGGGGAGGGGGGGCAGGGACAGGCGGGCACGTAGAGGAAGGGGGGCCAGGCCGGCACACGGGGTCACAGGAAGGAAGTCCAGAGAGGTGGGCTGGGCTGTCCCAGGATGGGGCTGTTCATGCTTGTTGCTGGGACACTAACCCCCCACGAAATACCGTAAATAGGCTGACTTGTTACAGTGTGGCAGTTGGTCCGCTCACGCCCTGGGGCCCCTTTTCAGATTTTCCTTCATTCAGTCCTTTGATACTCAGAATATTTTACACACGCATGTGCACACACAGTCACCTTGCCCCTCACCCCCCACACATACATACACACACTGTCACCCTGCCCCTCACCACACACACGTACACACACCGTCACCCTGCCCCTCACCCCCCACACACAAATACACACACCGTCACCCTGCTCCTCACCACACACACGTACACACACAGTCACCCTGCCCCTCACCACACATGTACACAGTCACCCTGCCCCTCACCACACACGTGCACACCATCACCCTGCCCCTCATCACATACATGTACACACACACCATCACCCTGCCCCTCACCACACATGTACCCACACACTGTCACCCTTCCCCTTGCCACAAGCATATACAGTCACCCTATCCCTCGCCACAAGCATGTGCACACCATCACCCTGCCTCTCCCCACACGCATGTACACACACAGCCACCCTGCCCCTCACCACACGTACACACACACACCGTCACCCTGCCCCTCACCCCACACACATACACACACAATCACCCTACCCCTCACCACACATGTACACACAGTCACTCTGCCCCTCACCACACACATGTACACACACCGTCACCCTGCCCCTCACCACACGTACACATACATACCGTCACCCTGCCCCTCACCCCACCCCACACATGTATACACAGTCATCCTACCCCTCCCCACACGCATGCACACACACCATCACCCTGCCCCTCACCACATGCATGCACACAATCACCCTGCCCCTCCCCCCCCACATACATACACACGTATACAGTCACCCTGCCACTCCATACACAGAAACACACAGTCACCGTACCCCTTACAGTCACTGCCGCATACACGCGCACAGTTACTCTGCCCCTCACCCACTTCCCCTCCACCAACACCAAACTCACACCAAGCTCTGATCACAAAGGAGTAGAAAGTAAAGGGACCGGGAGTCTGACACATGTACTGTTTGTGTTTCTGAAGTGTCCTGGCTGTGCCTTGTGACAAAAAACACTCAAAGGCTAGTTTACTAGAAGAGTTACGGCAGAGTTTAGTTTATTTTTTTGTGGAAATCATACAGGTAACAAAACATTTACCGTCTCTGCAGTGTTCACATGTGGAGTTCCTTAGTTAAACTTTTGATCATTTGTATCTGGGTGACAGCTGTTCAACCCGGGACACCTTTGAGAGTGGACAGTGGGCGTTGTTAATAATTACACCAGCCTGGCAGTTGTAATCTGGGTTTGTCCCTGTGAACCAGGCCAGGAGATCATCCTGTCTACAGCAGCGTGGCTCACACTTGGCTGTGGCGCAGGAGCATGGGCCCTTACCCCGATGATCTGATTGGGTAGATCTGGGGCAAAGTCCAGGAAGCTGCATTTCTAAACAGGCACCCCCAGCTGTTCTGACTGGGAGTGAATCACACCGCTCCATGCAGGTGTGTGGGAGCTGTGTGTTTTAGTGGTATGGAGAAGTCACATGTCTAGGTTAAACTTACACTCATCAAATCAGCTGTGAATTTCATTAGTTCACCTATCCTAGACCAGAGACACGTTGAGTGAGCAGAGGAGACTAGCCTGGGTTTGCAGGAGACACACATAATACCTAACCAAAAAGAACCAACCCAGTTGTTAAGTTGATTTTGACTCATGGCAACCCCACGTGTGTCAGACTAGAGCTGGGCTCCATGGGGTTTTCAGTGATTGATTTTTCTCAGAAGCAGATTGCCAGGCTTTCTTCCTAGGCACCTCTGGGTCAACTTGAACTTTGAACCTTTCAGTTAGCAGCCGAGCATGTTAACAGTTTGCACCTCATCAACAGAAAAACCAAACCCATTGCCATCGAGTCGATTCCGACTCATAGCGACCCTGTAGGAGAGGGTAAAACTGCCTTATAGTTTCCAAGGAGCACCTGGTGGAATGGAACTGCTGACCTTTTGGTTAGCAGCTGTAGCACTTAACCACTACACCACCAGGGTTTCCTTGCAGGGACTCCATAATGCCTAGAGACGGGTAAGTTCACGATTAGATGACCCCAGTGTGTGACGGCATCACAGCAGCTGTTCGCTAGTGTCATAACATTCAACACGAGCGCATCTTAATTCCTTTCTTGCCAGAGTTTTTGGTTACATCTTATTTTCCCTCAATGTAAGAACACAGCACTGATCTTATGTTAGAAACCACTGAGACTCCTTAAATGCTTTTTCAGGAAATAACCACGTAAACAGATTTGCTAGAATGCCTTTTCCACGCTTACCACAGCTACTTTGAACTTGCTTGATTTGATTTTTTTTGTTTTTAAGTAATAATTTATTGTGTACTCGTGGAAGTTTACACAGCAGTTTAGGTTTCCGTTCAACAATTCCTATACAAATTGTTCAGTGACGTCAGTCACATTCTTGACAATACATGAACATTCTCATTACTTCCGTTCTGGCTGTTCCGTTTCTGTGAATCTAGTTTCCCTGCCCCCTTACATTCTCATCTTTGTTTTAAACTAATAGAAGATTTTTTAAAGTAGCACAGTCTGATTGAGCTGAAAGGTGACCTCAGGGGCTAGTTTTGGTTCAAAGCTTCAGGGTTTAAGAGTATTTCAGGGAATAGTCTCAGGAGTCTTCCAGTCTCAGCTGGTCCAGTAAGTCTGTTTTTTATTTTTGTTTTAGGAATCTGAGGTCCTGGCTTGATTAGATTTTAGATCTTTTTGTACCCTTGGTCTGAAAGCTGTTCCTTATCACATAACTGCTGTTTGCTGGCCTCCCTGGCATCCGCGCGGTCTGTAGGTTAGGGTTCTTAGCCTGGTCGTCAAGAGGCATGACGGTGATACTTGAGAGGACCGTAGTCGTAAGTATTCAGCAAGGCCGCCAGTGAGGTTAATAGGTAACTTCTTTTTAGAAAAATGTTTGTTATCGTCATGGCTCTTTTGAGGGTGGGGGCACCTACATTTGTTTGTACAAAACAGCGATTGCAGCAAACAGGCACCATAGAGCATCGGCCATACGTCTGCAGTGCCCGTAACACGGTGTGTGAGCGTGCGTGAGTGCAGGAGTGTGCGTGGGGGCCGTGAACGGATCGTCACGCTGCAGAAACGCGTTGACCCCTTCCTAGACTGCTGTACGGGCATCGTGGGTGACGAAACTTTATGGCCATCTTCCCGTGGAACAGTGACTGTCGTGTGGACCCCGCAGGCTTCAGCCAACCTCCGGGCACCTGTCAGACGTTCTTCTCCAGTCGCCGTTTTGACTAGAGTAAGTCTACGCAGCTCTTCCCACACCGCAAATGTAGGAAGTCACGTGCTTTGGCACCAGTCACCGTTAAATTAGAAGCAGGACAATAGAGGAAGTTGTTGATGGGAACAATTGTAGTTTTACTTACCCGAGCGCATCTGCAAATCCTAACAAAATTGTTGTCCCTGAGCCCGTCAGCAGCCGCTGGAGCGGGTTCCAGAGGGAAGCGTTTTCCTCTCTCTGTGCCAGGGAAGACTGTCCTGGCAGTTGGGCTGGTCTTCTGGGGAGAAGACGGGGACTCGGTTACAGCTCACTGTTAAACCTCTCCACGTGTGTGGACAACTCAGAGGAGGCTCTTGGGAGCTGTCTGCAAGGGGCAGCGTGACCCTCCTCAGATGGTCCCGCGCGCTCTCGAGGGCATGGGCGTTTTAAATCACGCACTTCAGAAGAAGACGTTTTCACGTTTTTTGAAATTAAAGTTAACAAATGCTCTAGCATCATACGCAGTGATCTCCTTGAAAACAATTTGCGTGTTCTAAGAATACCATTTTGTGGGTAGTACATTTGGTTTTAAGGAGCCCTAGTGGCGCAGCAGTTAGGAGCTCTGCTGCTAACCAAAAGGTCAGCAGGTTGGCAGTTCAGTTCCACCAGCCGCTCCTTGGAAACCCTACGGGGCAATTCTCCTCTGCCCTGTGGGGTCAGTATGAGTCTCAATCGACTCGATGGCAGTGGTTTTGTTTTGTTTTGTTTTTTTGGTAGTGACACAACAGTTAAGCACTCTGCTGCTAACCAAAAAGTCAGCAGTTTAAATCCATCGACAGCTCCATGGGAGAGAAGACCTGACGATCTGCTCCCATAAAGATTACAGCCTAGGAAACCCTGTGGGACAGTTCTGCTCTGTCCTGTCGCGTCTTTATGAGTCGAGTTAACTTGACAGCACACAGCAACAGCGCACCTGGTTTTAGCAGTTCCTAGGTGGTACAGACGGTTAATGTGTTCGGCTGTTATCGCGAAAGGTTAGGGGTTTGCGTCCACCCAGAGGTGCCTCAGAAGAAAGGCCTGGCAGTGTACTTTCAAAAAAAATCAGCCATTGAACACCCTGTGGAGTGCAGTTCTACTCTGAAACACATGGGCTTGCCATGAGTCGGGGTTGACTCGCTGGCAACTGGTGTTTTGGTTCCAGCTGGTTTTATAGTGGAAACCTTGGTAGCGTAGTGGTTAAGAGCTACAGCTGCTAACGGAAAGGTCGGCAGTTTAAATCCACCATGTGCTCCTTGGAAACCCTATGGGGCAGTTCTACTCTATAGGCTCACTATGAGTTGGAACCGACTCAATGGCAATGGGTTTGGTTTTTTTTGGTTTTATAGTACCTGATTGTTCTGTCTTGTAGAAGGCATTCTGAACTGTAGTGGCACACCCCTGCCCCCATACACTCTGCTGATGGCGCCACACTCCTTCTGTTCTCAAAGCTGCTTTTCTTTTCTCATGAATGGAGCGCCACTGGAAATGGCTGTAGAAATAGGAGACGTGGGGAGAGGCCAGAAAGGGAAAGATTTTAGAATCTTTTTCCAGAGTCTTTTGTGCCCAGGAAAGGTGAAGCTGTATGGGTCCTTGTTTCGAGACCCTGAGCGAGTGCTGTGGTTTGAGACTGAGGAGGTCCTGGAGGACCAGCCTGGTGTCCTTGCTACCCTCTCTGAGGGACTGGATGATCAAACCCCAAACAACGCGTGAACAGACTCTGGGACACAACTCATGGTAAAGTTAAATTGGAGACTGTGCAGTTTTGATAACGATGAGTAGATTTCTTTTTAATTTGGTTATATTCTCATTTTTGTACATTCTCACTCAGCCAGTACAATAATTCAGTGTGGTAGCAGCTTACAGAATTAAGACAGAAATCAGTAGCCTTAACTGAATGGGAAAGGACGCGGGGACTTTCCAGGGTGATAGGAGTGTTCTCTGTCTTGACAGAATGATACGTTTTCACTCTATGGAACATGTACCTGAGCATATAAGCACAGGACACTAAATAGCCTTCATGTATCAAGTACACTAACCAGTTAGAAACTATAAGAGAAGAGAAAATCCCAGTTACTGTGGCCACAAAAAAGATAATTAGGAGTAAATTTGACAAGAGTGGAAAACCTATAGAAAGAGTACTCTTAAATGCTCTGGAAAGACACCGAGGTAGACTTGAACAAAGGGAAGGACATTCCTTGTCCTTGGAGCGCATGACTCAACAGCCTAAAGATGCCAATTTCCCTACGTTAATTTATAAAATTAATGGAATCCCAGTAAAAATATCAACAAAGTCTTTTCTAGAGCCAGCCAAGCTGCTGTTAAAGTTTATATGCTCATAAAGTTCTTGCAAATAAATATGCAAGAATAATTCGGGAAGTGCTGGAGAAAGAATTAATGGGAGATGACTAGCTTCTAGATAGTAATTAAAAGCTAGTAAAGCCTTTATACCTGAAGCATTGTGTTATTGGACATGAGTAGCCAGGCACACCTGGGAACAGAATAGAAAATTGAGAAATAGAACCAAGTGCAAATGGAAGCTTGGTCTGTGATGAAGTGGGAAATCTTAAAGTGCTGGGAATGGACTTTTATATCAGTAATATTGAGACTATTGGATGGCCACTGGGAAAAAGATAAAGTAGATCTTTACCTCATACCATACAGAAAAATTTAGATCAGAAATCTCAGCTGTATCTATTCTGTTTTCCACTGGAAACTAATGCCAGAGTTGAACGCTCTGCAGCCCATCACAAGTACTGGCTGACCTGTGTATCCTCCTCAGATGGGTTAGGACTTGCCCGTGCATTTTCCACGCACAGTGGGACTCAGGAGCCCTCCTCTGGGCCTGGCTCTGCAACACACAATGACACCTGGTCTTGGGCTCTCACCGGTAGACCACCAAACTCTCCTTCCAGAATGGTGAGGGGCCCACCCGTGGTCTCCGTGGCCCTGTCCCCCACTCTTAGATCTTTAGGCGGCCCTATCTTCACTCTTGCACAAGGTGATGTGACCCTTATTTCTAAATGTGGGATGCTTACACTTCTAAACTATTTTGTAGCATCCCATAAAATGCTTATAAAATTCCCAGGGCTTTGTGGAGATGAATTTTATGGAAACCGTAGCTCTGCCAGGTGGTGCCCTATTGAACTGACGGTTTGGTGTTGGCTTCCAGGGTGCTTGGTTTTAAAACTTGGTTTGGCAAATCAATACTTGTCTTTAAAGAAACGCAGAGTATTTGCTGACAGGAGTTGATTTTTTTATTCTGGTAGCTAACTTAGCCTTGGTTAAAGTGACTGTTTAGAAAATGACCTAAACTTTTTAAAAAGCTTTGCTGCTTTTGGAAATTTTGAAAACTTGCGTTGGTGTTACTACCCAGATTGATAAGATCAGTGGATAAGTCCAGGGAGGTATGCAACACTTGGTAGATGCTTATACTCATGAACTGCCACTTAAGTACGAGCGGACAGAAGGTGCTAACCCTGTTTGTCGTTTCCATCAATATAGACGACAGCGACGTTCCCCGTGTAAAAACTGTGTACTGTGCCCGCAGCGTTTGCACTGTTTCTGCAAAGGAAGCCAGCTGTGTTCATGCCTAGACTACTTGAATAACAGGTAAACCCCAAGCGACGCCCATGCCATTTCACGAGGACAGAGGTGATACCTAACGCTGGTAGCTGGCCACCCAGGCGCGAAGGGAGGGCAGGGCGGTGGCATTCCAGTGCAGACAGCCTCTTAGTACTTACCAGTGGGTAATCTCCAGTCATTCATTCATTCCTGGTCATTGGGCTCCTGCGGTGTGGCAGGGCACAGCGCGGGAGGGCCGGAGAGCCAAGGTCACAAAGCAGATGAAAGTAGTGTGAGGATCTCTTCTGGAGTCTGAGAGCCCTTTGCCCGAGGGCAGGCTCAGCGGTTCTGCGGAGATCTTGAGAAGAGCTTGGGAGACCCCATGTTGCTCTAGCTGAAGGTGGGAGAGACCCGGGAGCAGAGGGGGATGTGAGGCTGAGGAAGCTGGCGGGGCCGGATCCCAGAAGCCCCTTTAAAGGGTGAGCAGGGGCCATGAGCAAAGCTGGGCTTCATGGTGTGAGCTCTGGGATCCAGGAGAAATGCTTTGTGGGACTGCTGAGGTGGTGCCCTCCCTGAGTCCCAGGGACCCCCATTGTGGATACTTCACCTGAGCAGTGGTGAAGAGAGACGACTGAGTTTTCTGGTCCTCTCTGGGGAAACTTGGGCTAATTAAGACCATCATTTGGTTAAGTGAATACTAAACTAGATATATTTTTATTTAAACCAGTTGTTGAAAAAAATTGGGCTCAGACGTTAGCCCACGGAGCCTCGTGAGTACACAGCATGCACTTCCCTTGTCTGCTTTCACGGTCACTTCAGATTGAACTGACACTGTGTAGCTGCAGCCCTGACTCCAGACGCGTGGGGGGCTTGTGTCGCCCCGTCTTCATCTTGCCTTGCATGGGGGCATCGACCTCATTTTCCAGAAAAATTTGTCGGGAAGTTTCTAGTTAGTTGTATTCTAGGCAGCCACTTTAGTGTGCTGTGTTCATCCAGCTGAAGAGTATGGCCCAACGCCGGGTTTTTGGAGCCAGGATGGTGCAGACTCCAGGACTGGGGGGATTCCAGAGCCCCCGAGGAATCCCAGAGGGCTTGGGAGTCTCTGAACCCCTAGGTGTTAAACTCAAAATTTTGCCTGTTAAGCTCATTGCTGTCGGGTCGATTCTGACTCATAGTGACCCTGTAGGACAGAGTAGAACTGCTCCACAGGATTTCCAAGGAGCAGCTGGTGGATTTGAACTGCCGACCTTTTGGTTAGCAGCTGAGCTCTTAAGCACTGTACCACCAGGGCTCCCAAAATTTGGCAGTATGTACATTTTTCTGGAGAGGGGCTATAACCTTAATGATTTGATTATCACAAGGTTTTACGGCCTGAAAAGACCAAGGAGCGCAGCTCACAGAACCTGACCACGAGATCCAGGTGGCTCTCGGGTTGACTTTGAACTTGCTGCTGCTCCTGCCCTGCCCCACCCTCCCTCCAGTTCTCCTCTGCCAACATTCCAGGCAGGATCTAGGGTTTCCCTTCCCTCTTAGTCGCACCCCCTCCACCTTCCTCCTCCCACCCCCACCGTGCTCCCTGTCGTCATATGTGCAGTCCCCGAGCAGCCTTGTGGCCATATTGGGGGTGCAGGTCCGTTTATCCTACATGCAGAGCCAGTGATGATTGCTTTTCCTCTGATCCTGTCCTCCATTGTTGTCCTGATCTTTATCCTTCCCCCAGGATTAAAGTCTATACAAGAAAACGTTGTTTCTCTGGAAACTGGATTGCACTGTTTCCACAGATCCACCCAGAGCTTAAGCCACAGAGAGGCGATGCTCTTAGAGGTCTGTAGAATTCTCTTCAGTGATCAGGCCACTCCCACGGGGCCCCGGACTGCTGGCGGCCCTTCTGACACCCTGGTTGGTTGTGTTTCCTCTCTACAGATCAACCAGTCACTCGATGGGGATTCACAGAGGACCACCCTTTTGTGTCACCGTCCCACCTCTCTGTAGCAAGAAAAATAACTTCAGCACCTCTTCAGTAATAATGATGAAACTGGTATTAACTGAATGGCAATTATGGATTTTTAACTCTAGTTCACAGTAAACCAGCAAGCCATATGTTTAAAGTCCAACCAAAAATCGTTTTGTTTTGCGACACGCCTCCTACGACTGTGAGAAGTTGGAAATACCTATTTGTTACAAAGAGGGATAGAAGTATTACTTGCCGAAGGAACACACCCGAAGTGGGAAGAGAAGACGTCTTAATTTATCAATAAAGATATATGATAGTGTTATTTATATAGGTAGAGTAAATATATATACAGATATATATATATTTTTTTGATGGTGATGAGAATGGCTCCGCAGAATGCTGATCCAGAATCTCTGCAAGTTCAAGAGTTAGCTGTGCCCGTGCCGGCCCTGCAAAAGCGCGAGAGCAAGGAGGCGGAGAACCGTGACGAGACCGTTAGCGAAGGGTCTATTGACCGGATCCCCATGCGCCTATGGGTGATGCATGGGGCGGTGATGTTTGGCAGGGAGTTCTGTTATGCCATGGAGACGGCCTTGGTCACGCCAGTCCTGTTGCAAATTGGTAAGTAAGTGCTTCTCCCTGTCTGCACGCAGCTGTGGATGCCGAGCTTGTGGCGTCAGCTGGACCACAGGGCTCAGGCCACGCGTGCTTAGAAAGGTCCTCAGGAGCCCTGATGCAGACATCCTTGTGTGCTGTCTTTCCCTCCCCTCCCCTGACCTAGTATTTCTGACGTTTTCTCCTCTTTTAAACTGGGGCAGGGGCCTTAGATCTTATGTGGAATTACAGATGTTGGCAAAGTGGTTGTGGAGCATTTGGGATGAGTCCATGTCAGAAGGCGACCTGTTCTCAGTGTGTGCCCCCGCCCCCACCACGGCCCACAGGTGGTGACCCCACTGTTGAGCATCTACATGCGAGTCCCCCCCCCGACCGCCCCCGACAGTCGCCGGCCAGGTCATCCTGGTGGGTCACTTGCCCTCCTGTACCCCGCCTGGCCCCTCGTCTGTGGGATGAGGGCAGTCACAGGACCGGCCCTTACGGGGTCCTGCCCAGTGAGCAGCACAGTGCCTGGCCCCAGAAGGCCTACAGTGATGCCATCTTTCTTACTGTTACCATGTCAGTGTCCTCGCTGGTGACTTAAATCTGAATTTGCCTGGGCTTTGGGTGGCTGAACGGCAGGCATTCCCTCAGCTGGTTCACGGGCCGCACTGAAGTTGGCATCGCCAAGCCTGGTGTGTGGCAGACGGTCGTGTCCCTCCCCAGTCGCCGTGGGGACCGTCTTAGGCCGACAGGTTTTGTGAGATGGTTTAGTTTTTCCCCACTGTCGAAGGGTATTTTTAAAAATAAGTAATTTTTCAACTCCTTCACCCTGGTGGCGCAGTGGTTAAGCATTTGGCTGCTAACCAAAAGGTCGGCAGTTCGAATCCACCGGGTGCTCCTTAGAAACCCTATGCGGCAGTTTTACTCTGTCCTATAGGGTCGCTATGACTTGGAATCTGACTCGACAGCAGTGGTTTCTTTTTTGTTTTTTTTTAAGTCTTAATAAGAGATCTGTGGGAAGGGGCCAAGTGATTAAAATTTCCTCAAGAATTCCACACACATGGTATGATAACTTTTTTCAATCTACTTATTTTGAGGTTACAGGAATATTTCTTGCTACAAATGGGAAGAAAGCTTTCTTGTTTAGTGAGGCTAACGAGCCCCCTGGTCTGGAGTCCAGCCTGAAATGGCAGCGTTTCTTCAGTTGTGCGTGTGGGCGGCAGCCCCGCAGCCTCAGAAAACACGGGTTTCCTCTCGGTACGGCCGTAGCAGGGGCCGCGAGTGCCATCCGTGCTCGTGCAAGATCGCAGTGCCACCCCTAGAGCTTGCTTTTTATCCATTAGTCAAGAAGCATACACATCACTCTTTGGACATTGTAGCCACTGTATTTGAACCTGTTCTCCCCCCATGCGTTTTATCTTTCATTTTTCACAATGTTGTTACGAGGAGGTGTCGTGAGACGGCCAGAGCCTGGGGCCCAGGCAGGTTGGGAACCCTTTCCTGGAGGGTCGGAGAATGGTGGAGCACGGGTGACCTCGGACCACTGCTTTCTTCTTTCAGCTCTGCCTCGATTCTACTGATCTTCCTCGGGTGCCCACCGTACGTCAGCTCGGGTGGTGGTGGAGGTGTGTGTGGACAGGACTGTATAAAGTGGGGTGAGCAGTTCCTGAGAAGAGGGGGGGTGCTGTGTTCTGGAAACTGAAAGGAGAGCTTTGTGGCTGGACCCCAGGGAGGGAGGGGTCCAGTAGCAGCTAGTTTTACCAAATACTCATTTTGTTGTGCGGTGTGTCAAGACACGGGTCCGGCGCCGGCAGTCAGGAAACTGAAAGCAGTTGTTGTAACTAAGCTGCGGTGCTTAGAGTCAGAAGCTGGGCAGCGTCATCTGGCTCTGAGCTACCTCTTACGGTTATGGTGGCAGATACGGCGTTCACGACCGCTGGTACTGAGCAATAAGCGATACGGTAGCTAGGTAGAGACTGGGGAACTGCTGCTTTGTGTAGTGGGGGTTAGAACCCTAGCACCAACACCACACTGCAGTTTTCACACTTGACAGGAGGTTGTGGGTCTCCATCTCCACTTGGCTTCTAGCACACTTCATTGCTTGGTTTGAGTACTAATTACTCAATGAGACGTATAAGATTTTAGATAATCCGGGATAAAATGCTGAGGCCTTAGTGGTTCGCTGGTAGAATCTCGCCTTCCGTGGAGGAGTCTTGGGTTCGGTTCCTGGCCAGTGCACCTCATGCACAGCCCCCCCCCACCCCTCCCCGGCCGTCTGTTAGGAGAGAATTGTGTGATGCCGAACAGCTTTCATTATAGCTTTGAGTCTGAGACGGCCATCTACTTCCAAAAATCAGCCAGTGAAAACCCCGTGGATCACAAGGGTCTGATCTGCAGCCCATCGTGGGGAGGGCACAGGACCAGGCAGTGTTCGTTCCATCATGCATGGGGTGGCTGTGAGTCGGGGGCCACTGCCTTGACAGCAGCTGACGGCAGGACAAAATGCTGTGTGTTACCAGTTGTCAGGTCGATTTCAACTCACGGCGACCCCGTGTGTGCAGTAAAGCTCTGTCGGGTTTTCACGACTGTGATCTTTCAGAAGTAGATCCCCCAGGCTCTTTTCCGAGGTTCCCCTAGGTGACTTTGAACTCCTGACTTTTCAGTTAATAGTCAAGTATTGTTGTACATAAGGGTGCTGTGAGTCAGAACTGACTGGACAGCACCCACCACCAACCACCAACACCACAACAGTCAAATCCTTAACCAACTGTGCCGCTCAGGGATCCCCGAGTGCTGTACATTGAAGGTAACTTTTACAAGTTGTAGGTGTGTCTGTTCCATGGAAACGTCCAGAAATGACGACTAAAAGTGGAAGAGTTCTCATAAGTAGGTGAGCCGTGGAAAACTGACACGAAGGGGGGGTGTAAGTGACCCCGGGGGGCCTTGAACAGCACGCGGTTTGTGTGAAACGGCGCGCCCAACTCGTGTTGCCAGGCAGGCAGGGCTCGGGAGTATCGGGCGTTTCTGTGGTTAAAAGAACAGAACTTAGTGACTCCACGTCCTGAGCCCAGGGCCTCAGGGTGACTGTAATCCCTCTCCCAGGACAACATTGCGAACAGTGTTCTGATTTGAGTCAGAGTGTCTTCAAAAGGTGGTCTCCCCAACCAGGTACGGTGCTTCTTAGTGAATTTTGTACGTGAATAATTTCTGAAACTGAATTTCCCCCACTCCAGTGTAGACGTCTGTGGGCATGTGCGGGCAGGGACGTGCACCATCTCCTGGCACCGAGGCCCTGGGCTACTTTGGGTCTGGGACTGTCGAGCGACTTTGAGGTGGTCTGAGAAGCAGTGCCGGCCGAGTATGTTTTCCTCGGTTAGAGGTGTTACTGGACTTAACACAGCGTCCTTTGAGCGTCGGCCGGAGCTTTTGGCAGATGTGGGGTGCCTGACATGACTCCGTCTCCCTGAACTCACTTAGCCGTGAAAAATCCCACGCTCTCCTGGGAGGAGAGTCCACGGTTTGTGCCGCCTGTTGTCACCCAGCCTGGCCCATGCCACGGCAGTGTTCTGTATACCCTGCAACTTGGTTACGGTTGGGATCCAAATTGAAGTTAAAACGCCGCCTCGTGTGGCGTTCATCCGTAAACTTGAGCCAGGTGGTAATGGGATGAACACATGCCTGTGCTCACGTGGTTGCTCTGCAGGGTTTACATGATGTCCCGTCATCCCAGTGTCTTCCCAAGAGTCCTGGGAGCCAGGAAACCAAAGTTTCCAGGGACGCATGTTCAGTGGGACAGATCTGTGATAAGCTTACGTCTCGGGCGCCCCCTACCACACCACAGAGCTCCAGCCAGCTACTGAACCCCATGACCCGTTCATTCTCGTGAGAACCTGGAGGAAGTTCTTACCCAAGCAATATCTATTCCCATTCCTGATATGGTGGAGTATCGAGGTCTTGTTTTTGATACCGGATTCCCACGTTTGTAATTGCGACTTGTTTTTTTTTTTTGGTCTCAACATCCTTTGTAGGAAAATAATATAGAAACATCATAACCGGTAGCCAGATCCATTCCTGGTATGAAAGGTAATTGGGCCTGGCCAACTTTACCCAGGTTTGAGGAATAAAAATAATTGTCCTAGTACTTAACTCTTTCACTCCTTCATCTCCGTTGGTTGCGTGAGCCGTAGAGGTGTGGACGAGGCCGGAGAGGTGTGGACAAGGTTGGGTTGTCGACAGTCTTCCAGGCCGTTATTCTCAGCCGTGCAGGTTTGTTTTTGCTTGTTTTTTGTTCACGGTGAAGGCCAAGCCTTTGGATTTTTATTTCTGGTTGCGAGTGTCTCCTGTCATCCTCAGCCGAGTGCCCACAGGATGAAAAGTAGACTTGGCCAGGTCGGCTTGTTTCCATGCTTGGGGGATGATGGAATCACTGTATTTTCATGTCACTCTGTAGAGGAAGTTAAAAGATGGGGTCTTGGCACTTGGGACCACTCCTGTGTCCAGTCTGCTCTGGATTCGGGGCTCAGAGCCCTGTAATGCCTGTTAACCCATTTACTGCTAGTGTCATCTTTGAGCAGTTGATTTATACCCGTTGCCATCGAGTTGAATCCAACTCATCGCAGCCCTACAGGACAGAGTTGGAACTGCCCCATAGGGTTTCCACGGAGTGGCTGGTGGATTCAAACTGCCGACCTTTTGGTTAGCAGCCAAGCTCTTGACTATTGCATCACCAGAGCTCCTGAGCAGTTGCTTTAGGGGGGTCAAATTCTGACACCTTTTCATCAAGAGATGAGTGATTTCGGTGAGGGCCAGCTTAAATCAAAGCCCTCCAACCACATGTGTTTGCGTGCCTCTCGTATGAGGTATACGTGCTTCTGGAAGTCCAGGTAGATGTGAGCCCCTTCCCCTGGTCTGTATCCAGGTGGTCTGGGAACGGGGCCTCCCTCGGGAGGTGGTGCCACTGTCGGCCGGGCTGGTGGCACCCACACAGCAGCCAGTGAACAGGACGGGAGAGATGTCTGTCCTGT